CCCCAATAACCATAACCCAGTACCCATCACCTCAACTCCTTCACCGTAGGCAACAACAGTCACTTCACCAACTCTAGAGAAAAAAACTAATTCCTCCAGTTTCCATCAGAGCTACCTCTTGAGTACCTCTCACCTCCGTAACCACCACGCCCGTAACCACCACCGCCCTCGCGGCGACCACCTCCGTAGCCACCTCCACCATATCCACCTCCGTTGTTGCGGTTATAGCCACCTCCATCACGCCTTCCACCGCCGCCTCCACGGCTGAACCCGCCACCGCCACCACCACCTCCGCTTCCGCGGGACTGAGCTTCGCTGACGCTGATGTTACGGCCGTCCAGGCTCTGTCCGTCCATTCCGTCGATCGCATCCCTCATCGACTTCTCCTCCCTAAAAGTCACGAATCCGAACCCTCTTGACCTCCCCGTCTCGCGATCGTTAATGATCTGAACAATAACCCCATTCAACGCAAACATATTAGACAGATCTGAATGCATGACCTGAACAAATGATAAAAAATAAATCGATCGATCTTCGCCTTCGGTTAAAAGGAAGAAGATGGACGTACCGATTTAGCGTGAGTAACAAAAAAATAGTAACAAGAATCAATCAAGTAACACAAAAGAGATCACAGATCACAGATCACTGGTTCGGGTCAGATCTGGGTCCGATCTCTGTCTAACGGACCTTGGACTCGAGGATCTCGCCGAACTGACTGAAAGCCCGCTCCAAGGACTCGTCGTCGGTGGCCCAGGCGAGACCGCCGACGAAGCACCTGTACTCAACTTCTGCAGAAGCCATATATTAGGTTAAGGAAAATCTTTGGGAAAAATTGGGGGACGGGCAAATATTCGAAACGCGAAGATTTTTATGCAAATCCCCTAACCAGAAAACAGAGCGTGAGAGGAGCGTAAATCGCTTCAGGCTGGTTATATAGAAGGCCTTGATGTTAACTATGGTTAGTTGCTGAGTTATTAGGGCGGCGCGCAATGTATGCCCTAACTAGGGTTTCTATTCGTGAATGAGACGACTTGTTTGGCTACGAGTATCAAGTTGTCATCAATCAAGCCTTGCCATTAAATTTTATTTAAACATAAAGGAAAACGGCTTATATACCATATGGTTTTTATATATTTTGTTTTATTTAATTAGTTTTTTATTATTTTTATGTTTGAATAAATTTTATAATTTTTAAAAATTTATTCACAAAGTTTCTATGTATATATTTTTAGATTCTTTATTTAAAAAATCATTATAAACTAAAATATTACTGAAAATAATATTTTTTATTAATATTATTTATATATTTTTAATACGATTATTAATATTGTATTGATTCTTTTGCAGCTTAAATATTTAAATAATTTATTTATTTTACATAAATTGGCTTGTATTGTATGTTATTCTTTTCACTAAATATATTATGTATTTTCAAAAATTATTTAAATAAATATATTATTATTTATTAT